GGGGGACTCGAAACCACCGACCGAAGATGGGGGACTAGAAACCACCAAACACTGGGGGGGAACTAGAAACCACCAACGTGGGGGAACTAGAAACCACCAATCTAAGTTGGGGGAACTAGAAACCACCAAAGATTGGGGGAACTAGAAACTACCAACCAAACTGGGGGGATTAGAAACCACCAATCTAACTGGGGGGAACTAGAAACCACCAAAGAGGATGGGGGGACTAGAAACCACCAACCAAAGATGATGGGGGAACTAGAAACCACCAAAAAGGGGGGGAACTAGAAACCACCAACATGGGGAAAAGAAGTAGAAACCAACAAACTGGGGGAACTAGAAACCACCAAGATGGGGGGACTAGAAACCACCAATCTAAGGGGGGGAAACTAGAAACCACCAAGATGGGGAAAAGGGGGGACTACAAACCACCAAAGATGGGGGGAACTAGAAACCACCAACAAGGAGGGGAACTAGAAACCACCAAACTAAGGGGGGAAGTAGAAACCACCAAGATGGGGAAAAGGGGGGACTAGAAAGATGGGGGGACTAGAAACCACCAACCAAAGATGGGGGAACTAGAAACCACCAAACACTGGGGGGGAATAGAAACTGCCAAAGTGGGGGAACTAGAAACCACCAATCTAAGTGGGGGGAACTAGAAACCACCAAGATGGGGAAAAGGGGGGACTAGAAACCACCAACCAAACTGGGGGGACTAGAAACCACCAAGATGGGGGGGACTAGAAACCACCAATCTAAGTGGGGGAACTAGAAACCACCAAAGATTGGGGGAACTAGAAACTACCAACCAAACTGGGGGGACTAGAAACCACCAATCTAACTGGGGGGAACTAGAAACCACCAATCTAAGTGGGAGGAACTAGAAACTACCAACAAGGGGGAACTAGACACCACCAAAGAGGATGGGGGGACTAGAAACCACCAATCTAACTGGGGGAAACTAGAAACCACCAAGATGGGGGAACTAGAAACCACCAAAGAGGATGGGGGGACTAGAAACCCCCAAGTGGGGGCCCGGCCCCCGGCCTCACCCCGCGCCCCTGGGCCGCAGAGCAGCAGCAGCAGCAGCAGCATCTTCCTCCTCCTCCTCTTCCTCGCGCTGACCTGCAGGAGGAGGAGGAGGAGGAGGAGGAAGGCCCGTGGCTTCGCCCCTGCGCGCAGGCCCCGCCCTGGGGGACGCACCCCGCGCTCGGGTGCGGGCCTGTGGCTTCGCCTCTGCGCGTAGGCCCTGCGGGACGCACCCCGCGCGCAGGTCCGGGCTTGTGGCTTCGTCCCTGCGCGCAGGCCCAGCTCTGTGGCTTCTATGCTGCACATAGGCCCAGCTCTGTGGCTTCTATCCTGCGCGTAGGCCGTGTGGGACGCACCCCACGCGCAGGTCCGGGCTTGTGGCTTCGTCCCTGCGCGCAGGCCCCAGCCCCATGGCTTCTATCCAGCGCATAGGCCCAGCTCTGTGGCTTCTATGCTGCGCGCAGGCCCAGCCCCGTGGCTTCGTCCCTGCGCGCAGGCCCAGTCCCATGGCTTCTATCCTGCGCGTAGGCCCAGCTCTGTGGCTTCGCTCCTGGACGTAGGCCGTGTGGGACGCACCCCACGCGCAGGTCCGGGCTTGTGGCTTCGTCCCTGCGCACAGGCCCCAGCCCCATGGCTTCTATCCAGCGCATAGGCCCAGCTCTGTGGCTCCGTCCCTGCGCGCAGGCCCAGTCCCATGGCTTCTATGCTGCACATAGGCCCCAGCCCCATGGCTTCTATCCTGCGCGTAGGCCCAGCTCTGTGGCTTCGCTCCTGGACGTAGGCCCTGTGGGACGCACCCCGCGCTCAGGTCCGGGCCTGTGGCTTCTATCCTGCGCATAGGCCCGGCTCTGTGGCTTCGTCCCTGCGCGCAGGCCCGGCTCTGTGGCTTCTATGCTGCGCATAGGCCCTGTGGGACGCACCCCGCGCTTGGGTGCGGGCCTGTGGCTTCGCCCCTGCGCGTAGGCCGTGTGGGACGCACCCCGCGCTCAGGCCCGGGCCTGTGGCTTCTTCCCCGCGCGCAGGCCCGGGCCTGTGCCCCCAGACGCAGCCACAGCCAGGCTTGGGAGACGAAAGCCCCGGATGTACGAGGTTGCTGGGGGTGGGGGGGGGGGGTGCAGAGGCCCGGATGTGGAGGCCAGGATGTGGAGGCCAGGAAGTGGAGGCCAGGATGGGGAGACTCAGATGTGGAGGCCAGGATGGGGAGGCCAGGATGGGGAGGCCAGGATGGGGAGGCCAGGATGTGGAGGCCAGGATGTGGAGGCCAGGATGTGGAGGCCAGGATGTGGAGGCCAGGAAGTGGAGGCCAGGATGGGGAGGCCAGGATGGGGAGGCCCGGATGTGGAGGCCAGGAAGTGGAGGCCCGGATGGGGAGGCCAGGATGGGGAGGCCAGGAAGTGGAGGCCCGGATGTGGAGGCCCAGATGTGGAGGCCAGGAAGTGGAGGCCCGGATGTGGAGGCCAGGAAGTGGAGGCCAGGATGTGGAGGCCAGGATGGGGAGACTCAGATGTGGAGGCCAGGAAGTGGAGGCCCGGATGTGGAGGCCAGGAAGTGGAGGCCAGGATGTGGAGGCCCGGATGTGGAGGCCAGGATGGGGAGGCCAGGAAGTGGAGGCCCGGATGTGGAGGCCCAGATGTGGAGGCCAGGAAGTGGAGGCCCGGATGTGGAGGCCCGGATGTGGAGGCCAGGAAGTGGAGGCCAGGATGGGGAGGCCAGGATGTGGAGGCCAGGATGGGGAGGCCAGGATGTGGAGGCCCGGATGTGGAGGCCAGGATGTGGAGGCCAGGATGGGGAGGCCAGGATGTGGAGGCCAGGATGGGGAGGCCAGGATGTGGAGGCCAGGATGTAGAGACCCGGATGTGGAGGCCAGGGTGTGGAGGCCCGGATGTGGAGGCCAGGAAGTGGAGGCCAGGATGTGGAGGCCGGGATGTGGAGGCCAGGATGGGGAGGCCGGGATGTGGAGGCCAGGATGTGGAGGCCGGGATGTGGAGGCCAGGATGGGGAGGCCGGGATGTGGAGGCCAGGATGTGGAGGCCGGGATGTGGAGGCCGGGATGTGGAGGCCAGGATGTGGAGGCCAGGATGGGGAGGCCAGGATGTGGAGGCCCGGATGTGGATGCCCGGATGTGGAGGCCAGGAAGTGGAGGCCCGGATGTGGACCTGTGCCTCAGTTTCCCCAACCTGTCCCTGTGACCCCTGACCTCCCTGGACAGACGGACAGATGGGGGTGGGGGGATGGGACGGATGGGCAGAGAGAAGGTTCTAGAAACTCCACCACCCCGTGACCCCCCCCCCCACAGCTTGACCCCTGACCCCCCCCACCCCGCCCCTCCCCACAGTGAACAAAGGAGCCGAGGCGGAGGTCAGAGGTCAAGCCACTTTTATGGTTATACCAAAAGGCGAGAGCTGGAGGCCGAGGGGGGAGGCCTGGGAGCGGAGGCCCAGGCCTAGGGTGGAGGCCGAAGCCTGAGGCCTGGGATTGGAGGCTGAAGCCTGAGGCCTAATGTGGAGGGTGAAGCCTGAGGCCTAGAGTGGAGGCTGAGGCCTGGGATTGGAGGCCGAGGCCTAGGATGGAGGCTGAAGCCTGAGGCCTGGGATTGGAGGCTGAAGCCTGAGGCCTAATGTGGAGGCTGAAGCCTGAGGCCTGGGATTGGAGGCTGAAGCCTGAGGCCTAATGTGGAGGCTGAAGCCTGAGGCCTGTGATTGGAGGCCCAGGCCTAGGGTGGAGGCCGAAGCCTGAGGCCTAGGATGGAGGCTGAAGCCTGAGGCCTGTGATTGGAGGCCGAGGCTTGAGGCTTAGAGTGGAGGCTGAAGCCTGAGGCCTAGAGTGGAGGCTGAAGCCTGAGGCCTAGAGTGGAGGCTGAAGCCTGAGGCCTGTGATTGGAGGCCCAGGCCTAGAGTGGAGGCTGAAGCCTGAGGCCTGGGATTGGAGGCCGAAGCCTGAGGCCTGGGATTGGAGGCTGAGGCCTAAAATGGAGGCTGAGGCCTAGGGTGGAGGCTGAGGCCTGAGGCCTAGGATTGGAGGCTGAAGCCTGAGGCCTAGAGTGGAGGCTGAAGCCTGAGGCCTGGTATTGGAGGCCCAGGCCTAGGTTGGAGGCCGAAGCCTGAGGCCTGGTATTGGAGGCTGAAGCCTGAGGCCTGTGATTGGAGGCCGAGGCTTGAGGCCTAGAATGGAGGCTGAGGCCTGGGACTGAAGGCCGAGGCCTAATGTGGAGGCTGAGGCCTGAGGCCTAGGGTGGAGGCTGAAGCCTGAGGCCTGGGATTGGAGGCCGAGGCCCCGGTGGAGGCCGACACGTTGGAGGCCCAGGATTCGAGGCCCAGTTGTTGGGATGAAACCAAAGCCAGGTGGTGGGTGGAGGGGGTCAGGTCGGGGGTCGCAGGTCAGGAGGGGTCAGAGGTCACAGGCGGAGGCCGTGACCCTCAGACCTGGGCCGACGCATCTGGAAAAAGGGGGGGGAGGAAGGGGGGGGGAGGAGGAGGGAGGTCAGGACGGACGGACGGACAGACCTGGAGCCAAGCGGGCGTTAGCGGAGGCCGAGGCGCGTTAGTGCGGGCGCGTGGCATCATGGGAGCGGCCGCAGGCGCTGGCGGGAGCAGGAGGAGGCCGGGGCGCGGAGGCCTGGGGGGGGAGGCCGGGCGGGTGAGGCGCAGACACGGCAGTTTCAAGGCTCCCCAAACCCCAGGTGACAGTTTCAAGGCTCCCCCACTGGAGGTGAGAGTTTCTAGGCTCCCCATGCAACCCCAGGAATGAGTTTCAAGGCGCCCCAACCCCCAGGTGAGGGTTTCCAGGCTCCCCATGCAACCCAGGAATGAGTTTCCAGGCTCCCCAAACCGCAGGTGAGAGTTTCAAGGCTCCCCATGCAACCCCAGGAATGAGTTTCAAGGCTCCCCAACTCCCAAGTGAGACTTTCAAGGCCCTCTCCCATCCCAAATGAGAGTTTCCAGGCCCCCCAGAGCCCTTCATGAGGGTTTCCAGGCGCCCCAAACCCTCCAATGAGAGTTTCCAGGCCCCCTTCTATCCCAAATGAGAGTTTCCAGGCCCCCCAGAGCCCTTCATGAGGGTTTCCAGGCCCCCCAACCCCGCCAATGGGAGTTCCCAGGCCCCCTTTTATCCGTAATGAGAATTTCCAGGCCCCCCAACCCTTCCAACGACCGTTTCCAGGCCCCCCAAAGCCCCTAATGAGAGTTTCAAGCCCCCCCCAAACCCACCAATGAGAGTTTCCAGGCCCCCTTCTATCCCCAATGAGAGTTTCCAGGCTCCCCTTTCATCCCAAGTGAGAGTTTGAAGGCCCCCCTGAGCCCCTAATGAGAGTTTCAAGGCTCCCCAGAGCCAGTAATGAGAGTTTCCAGGCCCCCCAACCTTCTCTAATGACCGTTTCCAGGCCCCCCAACCCCTCCCATTGAGGGTTTCCAGGCCCCCCAAGCCCTCCAATGAGACTTTCCAGGCTCCCCTTTCATCCCAAATGAGAGTTTGAAGGCACCCCAGAACCCTTCATGAGAGTTTCCAGGCCCCCCAAGCCCTCCAATGGGAGTTTCCAGGCCCCCCTTCATCCCCAGATGACCGTTTCAAGGCCCCCCAAAGCCCCTAATGAGAGTTTCAAGGCCCCCCCTTCATCCCCAGATGACCGTTTCAAGGCCCCCCAGAGCCCCTAATGAGAGTTTCAAGGCCCCCCAACCCCACCAATGAGAGTTTCCAGGCTCCCCTTTCATCCCAAATGAGAGTTTGAAGGCCCCCCTGAGCCCCTAATGAGGGTTTCAAGGCTCCCCAGAGCCAGTAATGAGAGTTTCCAGGCCCCTCGAATCTTCTCTAATGACCGTTTCCAGGCCCCCCAACCCTCCCATTGAGGGTTTCCCGGTCCCCCAAGCCCTCCAATGAGACTTTCCAGGCTCCCCTTTCATCCCAAATGAGAGTTTCCAGGCCCCCCAGAGCCCTTCATGAGAGTTTCCAGGCCCCCCTCCATCCCCAGATGACCGTTTCAAGGCCCCCCAGAGCCCCCTAATGAGAGTTTCAAGGCCCCCCAACCTTCTCTAATGACCGTTTCCAGGCCCCCCAACCCCTCCCATTGAGGGTTTCCAGGCCCCCCACCCACCCCAGATGACAGTTTCAAGGCCCCCACCCACCCCATGAGAGTTTCCAGGCCCCCTTCTATCCCAAATGAGAGTTTCCAGGCCCCCCAGAGCCCTTCATGAGAGTTTCCAGGCCCCCCAACCCCACCAACGACCGTTTCCAGGCCCCCCGCTCACCGCGCTGCTGGAAGCACAGCTTCTTCTTCTGGAAGGCGACGAAGCTGGAGACGGCGCCGGCCACGGCCACCAGCACGGCGCCCACCACCCCGGGCACCACGCCCTGCGCGGGCCCTGCGGGGGTCAGGGGTCGGGGGGGGGGTCAGGGGTCAGCGCCAGGGCGCAGCGCGCAGGTGCGCATGCGCGCAGCCCAGACACAGAGACAGGCCCCCCCACCGCGCATGCGCGCAGCCCAGAGACAGACACAGGCCCCCCACCGCGCATGCGCGCAGCCCAGACCCAGACACACACCCCCCACCGCGCATGCGCGCAGCGCAGAGACAGACCCAGACCCCGCACCGCGCATGCGCGCACTCAGTCCCCACACACACCCCCCCCTCCCCACCCCGCGCATGCGCAGCGCGCAGGCCGGCCCTCAGACGCGCGCCTGCGCACTTCGCGACCCTCCGCCCCGCGCATGCGCAGCGCGTTCTACCCAGTCTGACGCATGCGCAGGGCACTGCGCTCAGGGTTACTCGAGCTGACGCATGCGCGGTACTTTCTCCTCGCTCCCACGCATGCGCAGCTCCTTCTACGCCGTGTTTTTTGACTCCGTCTCACGCATGCGCAGGGCACTCTACTCAGTCTGACACTCGCGCGCTGTCTCTATGGGAGTTTTCCGCGCATGCGCACTTGCTCTAGGAGGTTTTCCGCGCATGCGCAGTCTCTATGGGGGGGGAGGGGGATTTTCCGCGCATGCGCACTTGCACTATGGGACTTTCCGCCCATGCGCAGTTGCTGTATGGGGATTTTCCGCGCATGCGCAGTAGCACTATGGGATTTTCCGCGCATGCGCAGTTGCACTATGGGATTTTCCGCGCATGCGCACTGTCTCTATGGGATTTTCCGCGCATGCGCAGTCTCTATGGGGGGGAGGGGGATTTTCCGCGCATGCGCACTTGCACTATGGGATTTTTCGCGCATGCGCAGTTGCTCTATGGGATTTTTCGCGCATGCGCAGTTGCTCTATGGGGATTTTCGCGCATGCGCAGTTAATCTATGGGGATTTTCGCGCATGCGCAGTTGCTCTATGGGGATTTTCCGCGCATGCGCAGTTGCTCTATGGGGGATTTTCGCGCATGCGCAGTTGCTCTATGGGGGTTTTCGCGCATGCGCACTGTCTCTATGGGGATTTTCGCGCATGCGCAGTTGCTCTATGGGGATTTTCGCGCATGCTCAGTGGCGCACC